ACCACCACCCCCGAACTCTGTGCTGGCTCAGCATGCCCCAGGGGCAGGGCCAGTGCAGCAGCTCACTGCGCTTGCCAAAGAGGCGCTTAGTCAGCTGAGCTATCTTGCTGGGTCCATTCCATGATTTTAAATGGTGGTGTTTCTTACAACCCTTTGGCAATAAACGTGAAGGCAGTGCAATATTTTATCTGATTTTTTTGCAAATTTTGATTATCTGATTTCCTGCTATACCATATTACATTCTTATAATAGTTACGAATACCTAATGCTCTTATCCATTATTGCTATATTGTCACTAAATCCTTGTGAGGACTCATTGAATGAATCAAAACACAATCCCATATTTCCCCTTTATTGTTTCTCTCCGGAGGACTGACATTTTATTACTATCTTGACTTGATCATTACTCTAGGCCTTTTCAAGTTTTCTGAATAAAGGTTTACATGCATTTACAACCCAACCTTTTCTTTCAATTCTGTGTCACATGGGGTATAAATGTACTAAGACACACTTTGTGGAGCCCATCTTAGTGTCCACCAGTGGATGATTTACACATGCAGCCTCTTATTCTTTTCATTTTCAGTGTTAGGCATTGACTTAGCACCTCCCCTTGCAAGATACCTTATTATTTCTCACTAAGACATTCACACATCAGCTGTACAGGTAAAACCCTCACATCTGTTACTCCACTTGAATGGTTCAAGAAAAGATCTACCTTCATCTTCATCTTCCATTTGGGCTTTGGCCTCTCTGGAATACATGGCTCTTCGGAGAGTTTTCCTCTCTAAGGTTGTCTGGTCAGCTTCCATGTCCTACAATAAATATCATGCTATCATTCAAAGAGCTCCAGCTGGAAGAAGGGTTTGACTTACCCTTATTCACACATACCATGGGTTTTATACAAATCTCAAGAGTTCTCTGCTCACCCTGAAGACATAGAAATCCTATCACAAAAGCGGGTGTGGAAATGCCTGTTTGTAGGAAATGTTGCAGTGTTCAGATGTGTAGGGCAGTGGGAAGTCAGGAAAAGCAGTGACAATGTGATAGACCCCACAACTTGTTACCCTAATAAACCAATAAACTTTTGGTTATCAGTCGTAGTCTGCGCATTTTCTCTAATTATATAGCATGTGATTTAATGGACCTACTGTTCTAGGAGGCTCTGTTATTTCCAAATTGCTGAAATAAAACCCAAAATGCCTCCCTGAATCACAGTTTATAAGACATTTTCATGTTAGCTTCTAATTTGCCTCCTGATATGAACGCCAACATTGATCAACAAAGCTACATCCAGCAAAAAATGAAAAGCCATCTCCGTCTTCTGTGTATCATGTAATACCGTGAAATAAACTGGAACCAAGTAGATTTGCTTCTGGTTCAACTTCCCATTACAGAAAAATGCAAGATTTATTTTGGAGACTTAAAACAAAACACCACCAAAAATTTTAAAGCAAATTTTCCTAGGAGTCCAGTGCTCCTCTGAAGCCAATTGCAGACAAAATATTTTGAACTGTGTTGATATTTGGGTTAAGCAAATACGAATTTAGTTTCATTTATCTAATAAATATGTACCGCAGCAAGCCAAGGTGAGGTCACAGGCAGAGGATTGGGGAGCATCAGATGATATTAGTTGTGCTTTGCTTAATAACATTATGAAGATAAGGGTTGATATTACCCAGTCTACAACTTTTAATAACATTTAAAATCAGTTAAAAACATTATCTCCTTCTTTGTAGTTCTCATTGCTGTCCTTTAAGCAAATTCATTCCCATCTTATTTACCTGCTAACCCTTACACTGAAAGTTCTTCCTACAGCCCTGTGACAGAAGGTCCCAGGTGTCCTTCAGTTTCCTATTCCCTCTCTTTTACTTCATTTATTTTACATCCAGGCCAGGCTTTCTCCTGTTTGGCCCCACTGTCCCTGAGCTGCATGACTCGCTGTTGTTGTGGCTGCCCTATCCCTGCGGAGTACTAAGCAGCATCCCTGTCTCCTACCTGCTGGGTTCTAGAACCATTTTCCCATCCCAGGTTGAAAAACCAACCTGGGATGTTCTTCAGATGTTGTTCTTCAAATATCTCCCAGGAGGTGAAATTGATGCTGGTGTACAGACCCTTCCATATAATAAACTAAACAAGGTTGTTTCTGCAAAAATTACTCTGTCTCTCAGTGATCTTGATCTCCATGATGGGATTCTCAGTGACTCCTGATGAACTTAAGTGTCTACTTTCCATTAAAGAGCAGATCTCCCTCTGTACCCACATGGGGACTCAAGGCAGGAGTTTTATTATCCTGGCTTTGCCTGGCCACCATTCCATTCTACAATAATGGAACAACCCCGTCAGACCCTAGGTTGTTCCCTACCTCCCTCAGTTGACTCATGTCCTTATTATCTGTCTTTAATTATAGCACTATGCCATCTCCAGCAACGCTTTTTATTTCTAAAGGCAACATAAAGAACTTACTTCTTGGCCTGCTCAATGGTGCTACTATCAAATCTAGCCAACAGCTCTTACTTTTACCTGATCTTCTTGCCAAAGATTCTGACCATAAATTGTCCCACACCATAAGCTTTTATCATATTCTTTTGTCCTTGGCACTTAGAACACTGAAGAAAATGTCATTTGGGCCATCTCTAGTACATTTATAATGAAGGTCCCCATAGCACAGTTTCTAGTGGGCACTTCTGGCTTGTATCTCGTAATCCAGTGGCTCTATCTTTTGTCCTATTTTATGCCTAGATTTTGGCTATTCTTCTTTATGTGGTTTGTTTTGAGATCATCCGAAAACTAATAGATGACAGGGAAATATCAGGATTTGTTCTTTTATCCTCCTCTGTTGAAAGAGGTTCCCCCTTCTAAAACAATATATTTTTAACAGATTTGTTTGCTCATTTGTTTTGGAGATTGAACTCTGGACTTTGTGCTTGCCAGGCAGGCGCTCAAGCCACTGAGCTCTCTCCCCAGCTCTGAAACAGTACATTTTAATCTCCTGATATTTTAAAGAAATTTGTGCATACAAATATTTCACTTTATTAAATGCTCATTCCTATCCAAGGATATCAAATTCTGGACATGTCCTAGTCCAAACTCAAAAGCAAAACATTTGAAAACTTTGAAAATTTAATTTACTATTTCTTTTCTCAAGTACCAGCTGTACTCAATCTGTTTTCCAAGCCTGTTATCACTTCACTGAATGCTGTAGCATTAAAATACAATTACATTAGGGATGGACCTATGTTTAAATTCCAGTGGTTCCCCTCTACCACCCCCTCCCCAGCCACATTCAGCAATGGCTCACATCATTTCTTCTTACATAGCCACCTTGGATTTTGACG